AAGGCGATCCGCAAGTTCAAGCGCAGAACCGACCTTGTTTTTCATAATTAACGGCTATCCATGGATGATTGGAGGTTCCAAACTCAATGGCTAAGCAAAGAAATAATGGATCAGCTTACAGTGATTGTATCTCCGTCGTCCTCATCCATATAAGTCAGTTTTGCTAGGGGGTTAGCTGCAATTGTTTCATCGTATTCCTCAGCTGAAATTCGAACGATACCATGACGATCTGTTGTTGGTGGTGCAGAAGCTAGCAAATGAGTCAAGTTATTTCTCCTTCCCCCGCTGGAAGGGTCACTGTAGTCGGAACGTAACTTGGGTGGGACCAGGATGTCGCTGCGTCGTTTGGCTGTTTTTCCATCAGTGCCCATAGACGGGATTGATTGCATATCGTGGGTCAAATATGGACGAAATTTGCCATCTTCATCATTACCAAGCCGCTTATAAGCCGGCATTAGTTCAGCATCAAAAGGTGATCTAAGAAACGGTTCTGGATTGTCTTGTCCATCTTGTGGAGAACGATCGGGTTGTTCAAGTTCCTCATCCACAGTGGGATCCAGAAGATCCCTAATACGAAAGGGCTTCAGCATTGTGAACGGTATAGATGGGCTCGAGAGCAGATCGAAACAAGGTCGATGTCGAGGGCCAAACTGATCAACCAAAAGTGCGAGAAAACCACCGCCGTATTGAGTATCTCACGCAGAAATGAGGAGAGCCAAAGGGTGACAAGACGATTTAGTGACGGTAGGGGATTAAAGGATGGATCGAACGAGGAAAATAGTAGCCTGGTGAGAGGGTAGCCTTGCTTGAACGAGGGCGAAAGCACAGTTCCCGGGATCGAGTCTATGAGCTAGGCAGTAGCATTTGTTCAGGGTAGTTAGTGGTTTGGGCTGCACCCAAGGGCTTTTGGAAATGAAAGACGGATCTTGTCTCTCTCCGGGCTGATAGCGGTGGAAAACAGCAGTCTCCAACCTCCAGGCAACACGATAAAAAGGGTGGCGGTTAATGTTGGTGGCCGAGAGATGGTGCATTGCGTCTGAAGTGGTTGGAGCAGGCGCAGCCTCATTTCCCCGCGTCAAACCAACCAAACCAAACAAGGGGACATCCCGCTCTCCCCTTGGCATCCATGGATGCAGCTAGTCCTATTCTAGAAATCATATGACAATTGTTTCTTATCACATGATATCCACCTTCTCCCTCCTTTTTATTTGGGGGGGGCCGGGACATGTTGCAGGTGTGGCCCTCCAAACCCAAGGACTGCTTATTTATTCGACTCGCGCTTAAATTGCAGACTCGGTGAATAACCAGTTAGCCAGTGAACAGTTGACCTGAATACCAATAGCAACAAGACCCTCCGACTCGTTTTAGTGAGGTATCAGAAGTACCCGCTGTCGACATGCGACATTTCACGCTTCCGCCACGTTAAATCCCCGAAACCTCCCACCCCACCCACCCAGAACAATTGCGGTATCCAGCGAACCCTCCCCTGTCGCATTGTGTACCACAAAGGGTCCACGTCATCATGTCTGCAAATGAGCATTCCGCTGCCTCCCGCGCCTCCTCCAAACCAGCAAGCCCCGACCGCAACGTCAAAAACGTCGTATTGGGCAACGTCCTTTTCAAGACTTGGTTTCACTCCCTATATCCGGAGGAGCTGGTTGGGAAGGACACGGATAGATTATATGTCTGCCGATGGTGTTTCCGGTACTCATGTGACAAAGATGCGTATCTAGACCACACCCGCCTCTGCGAGCACAGGTGCACGCCGCCCGGTACAAAAGTTTACGACTGGCGGGGGTATTCTGTGTGGGAGATTGATGGGGAGGATCATAAGCTCTACGCACAGAATCTTTCCTTGTTTGCGAAACTCTTCCTGGATCATAAATCTGTTTTCTTCGACGTATCCTCCTTCCTCTACTATATCCTCGTCTTCACCAACCCGCGGGACGCCAATGATTATCATGTGCTGGGCTACTTTTCAAAAGAGAAAATGTCATGGGATGCGAACAATCTGGCATGCATCCTGATTTTCCCACCCTACCAGCATAAACAACTAGGCAAGCTACTTATGGGTGTAAGTTATAAACTTAGTGCGTGGGAGTGGGAAGGGGGGATGATTGGCGGTCCAGAACGACCACTCAGTGAGATGGGACGGAAGAGCTACGTAAGATTTTGGGAGGAAAGGATCTCGAGATTTTTCCTGTTAGGCCCGCCTGGTGCTGATCCTTATGGGCGGAAGATTGCATCCGCATTGTCCTCGTCCAGGCCGATAGCTGGAGGCTCCAAGGGTGCGAAGAGGAAACATGCTCGGGAGGAGATGACAGTGCGCGAAATTGGCCAAGCAACAGGAATGCTCGTTGAAGATGTCATTACTGCATTAAAAGAGATGAGGATCGTGGAGCAAGAAAAGTCGGGGAAGAAACGTAAAAGAGCTCCCTTGCCGTCCTCGACCACAACTACGACTACGACAACTGGCTCTGTAGATGCGGATGCTGCTGAGGCTGCGGTGGTAAGGAAACAAAGTGTTTTGGAGTGGGCTAAGATTCATAGAGTTGATTTAAGGGATCCAGTTGCAGAAGAAGGATTCTTGGGTGAATGGGCGCCTGAGGACGAAGACCAGGAGGACCAGGAGACAGATGGCGGCGTTTAATGCGTTGGAGCATATTATATACAAGGTATGGTGGGAATAGAACGGCGTTATGTCTTTAGGCGTTTCGTTAGTTGGTTTGGGAAATGTTACGAGTTAGGAAGATACCCGATGTCCATACCCCCAATTTCATGAATACTCTTTCGTCTTTTACGTGAACGCTATACTCAAGTTGTAAAGCAAAATATATTAACTTACATATTGAAAGTAGTGAGCGCAGAGATTGGTTTCATTTTGAAAATGAAGTGTAAGCATGACTAACAACTTTTCGTTCATTGCATTATTTAAGATACCTAGCTAGGTAACTGATGAGCATCTATGCGAATACAGCAGCTATTTATCATGCATCTATTCCCGCCCTTCTTAATATCCCTAGATTACTCATCCATTCCAGCGGGACCGCCGGACCTTGACATCTGTCTTGCCTTGAGAAGTTCGTCGCAAAGCAGGAGGTTCGACGCAATACCGGCACTTGAGGCGACGCAGTTCCTCAGAACCCTGAAGGAGTCAAATACGCCTTCCTGGACCGGATCCATCGGGTCGCCTGTCGTGAGGTTAAGTCCGACAACATTTCCTTCACTCTGTTCGTCCTGCAATGCCGCAAGCGAGTCTTGAATATCGTGGCCGGAGTTCGCTGCGAGGGTTTTGGGAATAATGAGAAGGGCGTCAGCGAAAGCGCTAACACCATATTTGGCTTTGCCCTTGACTGTTCTCCTGAACGCTTCGGACGAAAGATGAGCAGCGCAGGCGACCTGGAATGCACCGGCTCCTGGAACAACGCAGCCATCCACTATTGTGTTATAGACGGAGCGGAGACCATCCCGAACAGCTTCGGTGATCTGTGTGATCGTGTGCTGGTTGGGACCCTTGATGAGGATGGTAACGGATTTCGGATCCTTGACCTCTTCAACGAATGTGAACTTCTCCTCACCCAGCTGATGTTCATACACTAGACCTGCCCACCCTAGATCTTCAGGCTTAAGGTCGTCAACGCTGTTCTGCGCAGTGCCACCGCATACCAGTTGCAACCGTTCCATATTTCGACGTTTTGCTCTACGCAGTGCAAGTATTCCGTTCTTGACAAGCACATCCAAGCTCAAAGGATCGATACCCTTTTGGTTAATAACAACGAATCCTTTCTTTGGATCATCGCCGCAAACTTGTTTCTTCAGTTCGACAATCTTGCGCAGCTTCGAGTCCACAAATTTCCTTTCGCTTTCAACCAGCTTATCTCTTTGCTCAGCGGTGGAATAATAGAAACCGGAGTTAATTTCAGACTTTTCATATTCCAGACTAACGTTCAACGTCAAAATAAAGGCATTCTCGACACGTTTTGGCATATCTGGGTGACGCGCTCCATGGTCCAAGGCTAGACCTCGAATGAGTTGGGTATCTGACGCGGTCCGATGTTGCATCTTCATGATTTCGATCATATGAAGATCAGGTTTATTAGGAGGCCTGTGAATGGCAAGCACCGCATCGACAATAGAAGGGGTCAACTTCTCGGCTAAGGCACCGTTCAATTTCGTGGAGAGGGAGGTTCGGGCAACGGAGAGGAGAAGTTCCCTGTCGATTTCTCTCTGAAGTTTGAACGAGTCAAGAAACTGCAAAGTTGTTAGAATTCGTATTTAACATGACCCTAAACTAAAACCATACCTTAAGTGCTTCGGCTTTAGCAATTTCATATCCGTCCGTCAGCACACGCGGGTGCAAACCTTCGGATAGATATCGATCAGCTTGCTTGAGCAACTCCCCGACAAGTAGAACCACTGATGTTGTGCCATCTCCAGTAATATCGTCTTGTGCCGTAGCCGCGCGCGCAATCATGACCTACACAATATATTAAAAGCAATGAAATACAAGGCGGGTGGTGGACGGGGGGTAGTGTGGCGGCATCTTACAGCTGTAGGGTTTTGAATTTGCTATATCAGTAAGTTAGCAAATAAATCCGTAAATAGGAGGGAAGAGGTACAAACCATTTCTCGAAGAAGCACGTTCCCATCCTTTGTAAGTTTGATCTATTTTACAAGTCATCAGTATCAGTGCACAGGAGCATCGTGGGATGCATATATCTCCATATTCGTACCGCACCAGCCCCGTCAACCAACCTGTATTCGACTTGTTAGTAGGCTATTAACGAAATTCAGGGAACCTGACGTACATCTTTATAGTCCCTGATGGACCAAGGTTCGATTTCAGGACATCTTGAAGCCCCTCGCCGGCGCTGATGTTGACCCTCAAAGCTTCCCCTCTCCGCTAGAAGAAGTTAGCCAAGGCACATTGGAACTGGACGCCTGGAGTCTTACTCGTGATTCCGCCTTTGGATTTAGCAGTTGAGTCGCAGACATGATGTCTGAAGTAGGGGTTATTCGAAATGCGACCCTTGAAGTCAACAATAGCAGACAGTAAATGTGGCGATGCGGTGATGTGGGAATTTGGTCACTTATTTAAGCTTCTTTTTGGGAAATCCCACATTGAGGTTCCGCGCTAGTGCGATCAGGGACGAAAAAATAGAGCTGCAAAATATTTGCCCTTCCCGAACCAACTCCATCGCAACTTTCATCGCTTTCGGCCTCATCGGCCTGTCAACCACTCTAATCGGTCTATTTCGTGCGTGGGTTGGAAGTCATTTCTATTTCAATTATTTTTTTTAATCGATTATACCCCTGCGATGGCCGATTTTCTCCTCTTCGAGGGCCCAATGGGCTACTCGATTTTCAAGGTTGTCCACCAGGCCGATACTGTGGGAAATCAACTGAAGGAAGTGCAAGAGAACCTACAGGACCTTGCGAAATTCGGGAAGATGGTTGAATTGACGAGTTTCTTGCCCTTTGAGTATGTCTCCCAATCGATATTTTGGAGCGTATACAATGCAATTTTACCTGACACTTTTTGCAAAGAAACAACAAACAGGCCCTTGGCGAAATCAACGACATTTCGGAAGGTGTTGCCTCAGAGACACTCGTTTCGTTCTTGGACTTGAACTTGCCGAAACCGAATAAGAAAAAGAAGGTTGTGCTGGGTCTGTCTGATAAAGCCCTCGCTGGAAGCATCAAGGCGGCGTTCCCGTTTGTGGAGTGCGAAACTGGAGACACTAGTGATGTTGTTCAGGATATGCTACGAGGTATTCGACTACATGCGGGCAAACTTCTTAAGCAGCTCCGTGAAGGCGATCTAAACACTGCCCAGCTTGGTCTCGGTCACGCGTATTCAAGAGCCAAGGTCAAGTTCTCAGTACAGCGCGATGACAACCATATCATCCAGGCAATCGCGATTCTTGACCAGCTCGATAAAGCAATCAATACCTTCTCTATGAGGGTCAGGGAATGGTATTCGTGGCATTTCCCCGAGCTCATCAAAATTGTATCGGACAATCAGCGCTACGCCCGTGTCGCGCTTTTTGTCCAGAATAAGAAGGATCTGACGGAGGAAAAGCTACACGATTTGGCTGCCATTGTGGATGATGATGAAGGTATTGCCAGGAGTGTTATTGATGCGGCCAAGCACAGTATGGGTCAAGATATCTCACCAACTGACATGGAAAATGTACTTGCTTTTGCTAAGCGTGTTGTGAGCTTGTCGACTTATCGCAAAAACCTGCACGCCTATTTGGTATCAAAGATGAGCGTCGTTGCGCCAAACTTGGCAGCGCTGATTGGCGAAGTTGTCGGTGCGCGGTTGATTTCGCATGCGGGTAGTTTGACCAACCTCTCTAAATACCCAGCCTCCACCGTCCAGATTCTCGGTGCGGAGAAAGCTCTTTTCAGAGCTTTAAAGACCAAGGGAAATACCCCCAAGTACGGATTACTTTACCATTCGTCTTTCATTGGCCGCGCCGGTCCCAAGAACAAAGGCAGAATCTCCAGATTCTTGGCCAACAAGTGCTCCATCGCATCGAGGATTGATAACTTCTCCGAAACACCGTCCACCAAGTTTGGCAACGCCCTTAGGCAGCAGGTCGAGGAAAGACTGGAATTTTACGCCACTGGAGCTGCACCAACTAAGAATGAAGTTGCAATGGTATGTATTGTTTTCACTACTCGATGCTGATATAATTACATGTGCTGACTTGTTTTTGTTTGCAGAAAATGCCATGGACTCTGTTTTAGCGGACATCGAAGTGGATGGCGCAGATAGTGATGTAGAGATGAAGGATTCAAGTGAGGTGGTCGAGAAGAAGAGCAAGAAGGAGAAGAAGGAAAAGAAGGAAAACAAAGACAAGAAGGAAAAGAAAGAGAAGAAGTCTCGAAAGTCCGATGTCGGCGAAGCAGAGGAGACCCCGAAAAAGAAGAGAAAGCGGGATAGCGAAATAGGATCGTCCAAGAAGAAGTCGAAAGCGTGATTATGTGTATTCCATTGTCAACTGGGTGTATTTTGCTGCATTGGGGCGTTGTAAACGGATGTTCGATATGTGCTATTTTGTCTCTTGTTTTCTATGGTCTTGAAAAGGGTTTCGCATTTTGTCAAATATATTTAGTCCGGTGTTTTGTTAATTTTGAATTTGATTCTTTTAACTAGTTATTGAAGAATAGTATCCATTTTCGAGTTCTTTATTTGTGTGGACAAGTGACGAAGAATGCAGGGTTTAGTATTATGTGGATTCTGTCAGATGTCTTCGTCACGGCTCAACGGGCGTGGTCGTCGATCCTGACACTGTCTCATTCTTCGTCTTCTTGACTCCTCTCCCTATTCCCCATCTTTCCAACTCCAGCGACTCATCATGGACCCCTCGTTTAACACAGGTGGCTGTTCACCATGCCTTTCCTCCTTGTGATCAGCAACCCCTGATCGCTAAAAGTCTAGAATTCCACCACATCATTTCCTAATGCCCCACCACAATGATGACCGGAATTCTGACTCCCCACAAGTCACCGAAGCGCAAACGCGATGACATAGACTATAGGTTAAGGACTGCTTCAACGTCCCCTGCTTCTTCTGTTACGTCGATAAGCGCAAAGGATGATCACCTTGATGATGAATGTAGCCCTGCCATTGGGGGGAATAGTCCCCAAATCTCAGTAGCGGGTGAGCTGGGAGAGCTTGACCTGCACGGAACTTCTACCCATAGGTTTGAGAGCGCAAGCCATGGTGCGTCAGATGACAAACAGATGACAGATAAAATGGACGAGGAGCCATCTGTACAAGGCACAATAAACATCGATGCGGCACCGACTGTAACCCCTACCGACACCAAGGAAAAAGAGAAGATACCCCTCGCATCACCAGATGGCGGAGACTTGCAAGCTACGAGCGCAGCTCCGGCACGGCAACAATCCAAACACAGCTCACAACAAAAACACAGGTCCCGTCAAAAATCTCCACCACTTTCAGGCGATGTCAATGAAAACCCGTTTACTTGGCGCGACTCGGAAATAACGGGGTATGCACCTACTGATCCGAACGATGATGGGTACGGAATTAACGGAATTGGTTTCAAGCCCACAGCTGCGATTGTGTGGGATAGATCACAGAGAAGGAAAAAGCAGGTGGCAGAATGGAAGAGCCGTGAGGCGAGGGAGGCGAGAGAGATGCGGAAATCACGCCGTGATGGGATTCTTGCGGACGAGCATGTGGAAAACAAAATACAGGTCTATAAAAAGGTCAAATTTGACATAGCTACGGAGGATTAACAATCGGATACGTTTGAGCTGGATATGTCGACTGTGCCATGCCAACTTCAGAGGCATTCGGAAACCAGATTAAGAATCTCGTTCCATTGTTATGAAATCATATGCATGTCTAATATACAGAAATTGTGGAGTGCCACATGGCTATGTTTTATACAAATGAGATATATCCTTTCACTCCGGCTTTCCCCCAACATACTGGAATGACACAATAACTCCCGACTCTTGCGCCTGTATGTATGCCTACCAAAACTTGTAATTCGACAGATTTGTCCAGCTTTTGCGCCGCCGCTCCTCTTCTGCCGCTGCCGCTTCTGCCTCCGCCTTTGCCCGCTCTCGTTCCTTTAGTTTCTTAATTTTGAGATCTCGCATAAGTTCCACAGCCTCTTTAATCCCGTCACGTTCCTGAACCCTTCGCCGCTGGCAAAATTCATACATTCCTATGGAGGCAACTGCGAAGGTTCCAACGGCCCAATTACAGGCTGGCCATGCTGCGCGAAGTCCTATTTCATTGTACGAATGGAGTCAGCATGGGAGAATCTCTGATAGTTGGATTACTGATCACTTACCACCAAGCACTGCTTTGAGACTGCCAACGCCAAAACCGGCGCCAATGCCAACTAGGAGAGAGTCGCGCGCACAAGGCACTTTGTAAAACGATAGTAGCCTATCTAAAGACATTGACTGGAAGGCATCTCTAAATGACGCAGCTTTCGGCTTTCCTCCCGCCGAGTTATATGCTCCAGGAATCAGGTTAATGGGTTCTTCCGGGTTTCCAAACTCCTCCCACATCTTCGCCGCCTGCGACTTGGGGAACTCATGTTTCGGTTTCTTGGTAGGTGAGAATTCTGGAGGGACATTGGAGGTGTCTCCCGTTGGAGATTGTGTATCCCGTGAGTCTTCCGCCATATCGACGTTGCGCTGGACAGCAATGTCACCGTTAGCTAATGAAACGTCTACCGCCAACCAGGTGACGATTCAGACCCGGCAGCTAGTTATTCCGGGCTTGGCAGGCTATTTGTGAACAAACTATTGGCTCCCAATTTAACCCTAAAAGGGATAATTTGTCCGAGATCGCCGAACTTGACGCGACGCGAAACGCGATGAGAGACAATAATTCTACCGTCAGATCGAAGCACAAGCACATTGACAAAAGAATCCCGAGCTGTCATTTGTACGATTGGTAACGCCTATTTTCCTTGTTACGATAACTGTTTTTTCTTTTCTCTTCTTTCTCAATGGATCTATAATTGTCTTATTTCCCCCGTGTGTTTGCGTAGAGTGACAATACTCGATCGATTCTTTCTCTTGTTCGCAGCTATCGGCGAGCCATAGAACGCTACAGATATGACTTTACGAAAACCCAGCAAGTATGGGACTAAATTCAGATCGAGCTCGGCATCCTTCAATCCAAAGCGCGCGAAAACCATCGGATCCTCTTCCCTTAGATCAACCGAAGCGACATCGCAAGATGAGAAGTACCAGGCAGTTAGGCTGGCAAACAGCATTGACGAGACAATGGGGTTCCCCAGGTTCGAATCTGGAAAACCAAGGACTGGTTGGCTAATTAACATGCACAGCACCATAATAGAGGACCCAAAGGTGCCTGGAGGACGGGCTGGTGTTGAATACTACTTCCTGGAAGACAATGGGACCAGTTTCAAAGCCACAATCGAATATGATCCGTACTTCTTGATCGCGACGAAGAGAGGTCATGAGATTGAGGTAGAGGAATGGTGCAAAAGGATGTTCGAAGGCATGGTGAAAAGCGTTAAGCTGGTTGAGAAGGAAGATCTCCAGATGCCGAATCATCTCCTCGGTCACAAGCGGAGGTTCCTGCAACTTAGCTTTGCTAATGTTGGAGACTTGCTGGGAGTCCGTAAATCGATATTACCACTTGCGCAAAAAAATAAGAAGAATGTGAATTCCATGGACACATACGCGGAGATGGCTAGGTTCGTTTCTCTATGCGTCACAACGTGACTCCGCCCTTTTCTGCCTTTCGCTAACGGGACAATATAGCGCAAATGTTGGATTTGACCTTTTCGACGAAGAAGTTAATGATAAACCTCAAAATGCATTTATAGATGCTGGCGAGTATATTGTTGACATTCGAGAGTATGATGTTCCCTATCACGTTCGAGTTTCTATTGATAAAGGTATACTCCGCTGTTGCCGTTTGTTACGTTGAATTTGTCTCACATCCACCGTTAGATATTCGGATCGGAAAGTGGTATACAGTCCAGTCGAAGAACGGGGTAATTTCTTTAAGCTGTATTGAGGACCGGCTTACGCGAGCGGACCCTGTTGTGTTAGCTTATGACATTGAGACGACCAAGCTACCTCTGAAATTCCCTGATGCGGTTATCGACCAGATAATGATGATATCGTACATGATTGACAGACAAGGGTATCTCATAACGAATAGGGAAATCGTGTCTGAAGATATTGACGATTTCGAGTATACGCCGAAGCCCGAGTACGATGGCCCGTTTACTATATTTAATGAACCAGATGAAAAGAGGGTTATCGAACGCTTCTTTGCTCATATTAAGGAGGTGAAACCTACTGTAATTGCAACTTACAACGGTGACTTCTTTGACTGGCCGTTTGTTGAGGCTCGAGCTAGCGTGCAAGGGATTGACATGTATGCTGAAATTGGGTTTCGGAAGAATAGTGAGGATATCTACCAAAGCAACTATTGCGTTCATATGGATTGCTTTGCATGGGTCAATCGAGACAGCTACCTCCCTCAAGGAAGTCGAGGTCTTAAAGCCGTCACTGTGGCGAAATTGGGCTATGATCCCGACGAGCTTGACCCAGAGGTCATGACAAGATACGCGAGCGAACGCCCCCAGACGTTAGCTGAATATTCCGTTTCCGATGCCGTGGCAACATATTACCTCTACATGAAATACATCCATCCTTTTATTTTCTCTCTCTGTACGATTATTCCTCTTAACCCCGACGACGTCCTCCGTAAAGGCACCGGAACCCTCTGTGAGATGTTACTTATGGTTCAAGCATACAGAGGGAACATCATTTTGCCAAACAAACAGACAGAGCCTCCCGAAGCGTTCTGGAACGGCCATTTGTTGGATTCTCAAACTTATGTCGGAGGTCATGTGGAAAGTATTGAAGCCGGCGTTTTCAGGAGCGATATTCCAGTCAATTTCACCATCGAGCCAGCTGCAATTGAGGAGCTTCTTCGAGATCTTGATGCCGCTTTGCAATTTAGTATCGTTGTGGAGGAGAAAAAGTCTCTTGATGATGTTACTAATTATGATCAGGTTAAATCTCAAATTATAGAAAAGTTGCTCAATCTAAAGGAGACGCCGAATAGGAACGAGAGACCATCGATATACCATTTGGACGTTGCATCCATGTATCCTAACATCATGACCACCAACCGCCTTCAGCCAGACTCTATGATCCAGGAGTCTGACTGTGCGGCGTGTGATTTTAATCGACCAGGGAAAACATGCGATAGACGTATGCCTTGGTCTTGGAGAGGTGAATATATTCCCGCAAAGCGGGATGAATATAATATGATTCGACGCGCTGTGACAAACGAGAAATTCCCGGGTAAAACAAAAAAGAGCCCAATGAGGGGGTTTGAAGAACTGACCACGAGCGAACAAGCTGCCATTGTGAAGAAGCGGTTGCAGGACTACAGCAAAAAGATATACCACAGATTATACGAAAGCAAAACCATTCAGCGGGAAGCCATCATCTGTCAGCGGGAAAATCCCTTTTACGTTGATACAGTTCGAAATTTTAGAGACCGGCGTTATGACTTTAAAGGTCAACAGAAAGTTTGGAAGGGCAAGGCCGACACGCTAAAGGCTGCTGGAGCTCCCGCAGTTGAAGTTGAGGAGGCCAAAAAAATGATTATCCTTTTTGATTCCCTCCAACTGGCACACAAGGTCATTTTGAACAGCTTTTATGGATATGTTATGCGAAAAGGTTCACGCTGGTACTCAATGGAAATGGCAGGCGTGACATGTCTTACTGGCGCCCATATTATCCAGATGGCCAGGGAATTAATAGAACGGATTGGCCGCCCATTGGAACTCGACACCGATGGCATTTGGTGTATGCTTCCAGGAACGTTTCCTGAAAATTTCGCCTTCACTTTAAAAAATGGGAAAAAATTGCCAATCTCATACCCTTGCGTCATGCTCAACCATCTGGTTCACGGACGATTTACCAATCACCAATACCAAACGCTCGCGGACCCGAAAACTTTCAGATACGAGACGCATAGCGACAACTCTATCTTTTTCGAGGTGGACGGTCCTTACAGAGCTATGATCCTTCCAACATCGAAAGAGGAAAACAAGAATCTTAAGAAACGATACGCCGTTTTTAATCATGACGGTTCTCTTGCTGAACTTAAAGGTTTCGAGGTCAAACGAAGAGGAGAGCTGAAACTGATCAAGATCTTCCAAACCCAGATTTTCAAGTTCTTCCTGGAAGGCACGACTCTTGCTGAAACCTATGCGGCTGTAGCTGAGGTTGCGAATAGATGGCTTGATGTTCTACATATGCACGGAACAACCTTGGCGGACGAGGAACTCATCGACTTAATTTGCGAAAACAGAAATATGTCCAAAACATTGGAGGAATATGGCAACCAAAAATCTACGTCAATCACCACCGCGAAAAGACTTGCAGGGTTTTTGGGAGATCAGATGGTGAAAGACAAAGGTCTGAACTGCAAATATATCATATCTGCAAAGCCAAAGAATTCTCCTATTACTGACCGCGCCGTACCTGTGGCGATATTTTCCGCCGAGTATAACGTTAAACGTTTCTTCCTACGGAAATGGTTAAAGGATGATCCTGGAGATATGGACCCGCGCACGATCATTGACTGGGACTATTATCTTGAACGATTAGGCTCTGTGATTCAAAAGCTCATAACCATTCCTGCTGCTCTCCAAAAAGTCCGAAATCCCGTTCCACGAATACCTCATCCAGAGTGGCTCCAACGACGAATAAATATCAAAGACGACAAGTTGAAACAAAAGAAGATGACTGACTTGTTCGACAAAACCCCGTTATCTGATCTACCGACCAACATAATGGATCATCGTTTACCGGCCAGCGGATATATTGAAGATATCGTCTCGCAGTCGGCACAAAAACATAAGCAAAACGCAGTTAATAAGAGTGGACAAAAGAGAAAAGTACCTGAGAACTCAACAAGCCAAGTGGACCCATTCGCTAGCCTTCCAACGACAATGCCATCCATTACTGAAGACTACGAAGAATGGTTGAAGTATCAAAAACAGAAATGGAAAATCCAAAAACAGGCTCGAATCCGCCGGCGAAAGCTCTTTGGTGAGAGAACGAGCACGACCACTAACGCGATTGGTAACTTCTTCCGGAACCAGGCTGAACTTGTTTATGTTAAAACATGGCAAATCTTGCAGCTCAAAGAAACTGATATCCCTGGCGAAGTTAGAATGTTTGTGCTCATTGACCACAAGATACACGCGCTTACAATCAAGGTGCCACGGCACATCTTCATTAACCTAAAGCG